GCAGAGGTTGCTATCAATGATTAAGATGTTATTTTAACAGATATAAGCTCATTCTTTCTTACATATGAATATCATATGAAAGTGTTGAATTTTCTAGAGATTATACAGTTCATACTAAACTCTCACAGTCTAATTCAGATCACTGATAATATAGTAATAAAGCTCTGAGATATTTATAACTGAGCAGAGATCTTTATAACAACTATGAAACAAGATCAAGAGAACTAAACTAATATTTAATAAGATTTCACTGAGTAATATAAAATAAAAGACTTAATGTGATTGAATCTTAAGTAGACTGGCCGCCGGAACCATGAATTTCACATTTAATCTCATTTAATCTGGTCTCATACATTTCTTGATGTGAATCCCGCTGAGACTAGTCATTAAAAAAACATGCAAAGTGACTATATATCAGATCTTAAAATGAAACCATGACTTGAAAAAAATGAGAAAGTGATCTCATTTGATTTCATTTAGTCTCATTCTTAGCATAAAGTTACTATTTTTAGACATTTTAAGGTTTTTTTTAGACTATTTTTAATTTTTTAAAAAGTAATGCTTTTTGATAATACTTAAAGAAGATTTAAAGTTATTTAAAGCAATAAAAATAATTTAAATTGAGAAGTAGAAATCATGATCTCATTTGAAAAATGTGACAAGAGTAGACAGTAAGTCTCACTGAGACAGTATGAGACTACTATCTAATGTTAAAACTGTGTAATGGGATCCGTCGAATTGGTAATAAAACTATCAAAAAATCTGATCCTGGTCTCAGACACAGTCACACGGTCAGTCTAATCTCAAGAATATACAGATTATATATTCATTTTATACACTGAATTACTGTCATATTAAGTATAAAGTGATAGAAGTTCTAGATAGTTATAACTACTGTCTTAACATATTATCAGAGATTCACAATGTCTTTCATCTCACCGCTGGCACCTGTCAATTCTTACCCATGAAAGCTCTCATGTAATAGAGGCTGAGCCTAATTAGTAAGGCTTGGTGCGGGGTAGAACTTCCTACTGCAAGCCAAGTCACTAGTTAAGTGAGATCCTGCGAACACTCATCAGGGTCAGCATGATATGTCAATATCTCACTATTCTACTATGCATTCATCAAGGTTCTAATGATATAGAGCCAAGTCTAATGTAGTGATTATACACTACTTAAGCAAGTCTCTAACTAGAGCTGTCATCAGAGCCTAGCTTTCTCTCAAATACAGAGAATGATTTTGAAAATCACCTGACTAGCAGGCCTAGACGCGTATCTAGGCCCTAGGCAGGGCACTCTGATAGGCTAGAGCCTGCAAGCTCCCTGCCAAGCCCTAATACTGGCAGAGAGAACTGCAGTCATCAAGTCTATGATTAGTCTCTAACACAGAATGAGGTCACAACAGCTGATTGATAAGCCTATAAACATCTAATAGAGCCGAGATCAGCAACTGGAAGCTTGGTGTGTACATCATCAAGTGAGTGATAACAGTCACTAACTAACATCTCTGAAAATTAGTGACTGGTCTGAGAGAATGAATACAGTGATCAGTTAATTATAGAGAATTAAATGTAATTAGCTTAAGATGCATTCTGCAGATGACTAGCATCTGTAGATCAATTTTCTTCTTTAAATATTAAAAAAGTTAATTATGAGAAGTTATCTCTCTGAAGAGAAAAGCTTGAATCTCTTATAAACTTATAAATAAATGAACTATCTAAAGAGAAACAATATAAACAGCATTTAAAGAGAATTTCTACAATCAATATAAAAGACTCTATTCTGATTTATTCAGATGACTTAAAAAATGAGAATTTGAATAGATTAGACACAGACATTGCTTATACTGAAGATAATATTAATTTTATCTCAGATTTCTGAAATTTAGACTGTGAATCTGAAGTCTTTGATACTGAACTATTTATAATAGTGAAAGCTTTCAAACTCATTGAAATAAAATCTTATAAAAGAGAAAATAGTTTGAAAGAGATATAAGTATTCTCTGATAGTCAAGCTGCTTTAAAAAGACTTAGAAATAGTCAGATTTATAATGATCAAATAAATCTTGAACTGATCTTAAACTCTGTTTTAAAAATTCAAAAGAGAAGAATATTAAAGCTGATAATTCATCTATACTAAGTTTCTACTTATATGAATATTCATGATAATGAATTGACTGATTCAGCTGTAAAAAAGAGTGTAGAATTAAGTAAATCTATTTAAAAAATTATATTCTGATCTTTTATAAAGAGAAAAATAAGAGAATCTTATTTAGATAAGTAAAATGAAAACTGATAGAAATAAAAGAAGAGTATACATTATTCAAAATTTGAAATAAAATTCAAGTGAAAATCTTGTTTAATTAAATATAAAAAGAAAATATTCTCATCTATAATACAGCTGAAACTAGAATATGATTATTTCAAATCTTATATATAAAGATTTAATGATAGATTTAACTTAATAGAATGCTTATTCTGTAATATAAATAAGAATCCTGAGTATATTATAATATACTGTACATTATACAATAGTCTCAGAGCTGGATTGAAAGAGAAGTATAATTTAAATCAATTAAATATGAGATTCTTATTCTCAACTGAGACAGGAATTAAATACTTAATAGACTTTCTATCAGAAACTCAAGCAGCTATAAGAAAATGACTAAATTCAGAAATATCTGAATATGAAGAGGAGAAAATTAATCAGATATAGTCTGTTAAAACAGCTATATACTATCTCTTAATAATTTGTTTTATTACAGTCTCTCTTTACTTTATCTTTTTCTTTCAATTTCTTTCTATCTATCTATTTAATATGTCTATCTTTAAGACTGTGTTCTCTTTTCCTTTGTCATGATATTGTCAAATGATTTCAAAGTATCAGAAGATGTTAAAACACTGCAATTTGTAAACAGTTTTTATATTCTGAGCTGAAATTTTCTGATTTTGCATATCTGAAATTGATGAATGTATAATAGTTAACTTTACAGATATAGGAAAAACCCTGAGAACTAAAAGTTCTCAGATAGATGTCATAGTCTCTGACTGTATACATCTATAATTGAAGAATAATAATAATAATAATAATACAATGTCTTTTATACAAGCTTGCTTTATTACACTGTTACTGATTCATTCTCTTCTTAACTGATTTCTGACTGACAGCTGCCAGAGATCATAGAAGAAGATAATGAACTTGAATAAGAGATTGAAGATATTCTTGATAAGAGACTCTGCAGCTGTGACTGATAATATTTTATAAAATGAGTTAACTATAATTATCTGATCTGAACTCTGAGTTTTATACTATCTAAGATCATGACTCTTGACTGATGAGAACTATGTATAATCAGAGAAGAGAGAGACTAATGTAACAGACTGTATCTGATTATTATATAGACTATTCTCTTACACTTCATAGATTTCACTGAAAGCTCTAATTCTCAGTCATTCTCAATCGCTGATTCTCAGCTGAAAAACTCATGAAATTTCTATTCTTTCACACTGAAGCTTCACTGTGTATACACTGTGTATATGTATAAATATTCACTCTGATTACTGATTCTCACACTTTTTCTTTCTTTTCCTTCTTTAATGTTTTTCACTTTATTATATAAGATCTATATATTATACTGATCTATTTAGTGTAGACCTCTTACAAGTTATAAGATATTGTCAAGAATTGAAATTATTACAGTATTTAATCTCAAGTAGTCAGTCAGATCTGACATTCACAGTTAACTATCTCTTATGTTTTAACTTATGTTCATACAAAGTATGTTAAGCAGTGTTGAAGCATGTTCTATATTATGTCAAGAAGATGAAAAATCATAACATATTATACAGAAAGAAGATTAGTGATAAGAGTCTGAGTTCTGTAATATACTGTAATTCAGACTGAGCAGAGATAGATTCTTAATACAAATTCACTACTGACTATATTATATTAATTAATGAGTCACTGATCGTATAATAATCACAGAGACAGACATCTATTATTAAATCAATTATAGAAGCTGAATATATTACAGCTAGTAAGATAGCTTGTAAGATAATCTAATTAAATGATATATTATATAATACTGAGTTGATGAATAATAAAAAAGTGAAAATATGCTTGCATCTATAAGTTGATAATAAAAGAGCAATCAATCTAGTAAGGAGAGAATTCTTAATATAAAGATTATATTATATTAAGATCAGATATCATATTCTTCATAATTTGATTAAAAAAGAGAAAATCATGATAAAACATGTTGATTCTACAGCAAACATAGCTGACAGGCTCACTAAGTCACTGGTGAAGCCTGTGTTTGAAGATTTTATCAAAAGAATTGATTTGAAAGAGATCAGAAAGAAATAATTGAATGATAATAATAATACAGTGAATTAATGAATTTTGCATGTATTTCTTGATTTTTACAGTTATTATCATACAGACACCTTTCCTAATGAGGAAATCAGAGTCTGATTGATGTAATTAATTATTATTGCATTTTTGAAAGATTTGAGAATGAGAGAGGCCCCGGGTGGCGGCTTATTATAGGCCACGGTGTAGCAAGGAGGGGTGTTGATGATTACTACACCTACTGTTGAAGCTACTACACAAGCCCTAACCCATGTGACCCACACACATATATTTAGCTTTCACTAGCTACTAGTTAGACAACAACAACCAATCATGTTCAATCTCTCTCACAGGTTATGAAGCCCTTGCACTTCTATGAAGCATTATAATTATGCAATAATCATACAATAAGCTTTTCAAATAGCTGCTTCTTTCATTCAAATACCTCATATCAAATGCCTGTCAATACAAGATCAATCAATTGTGAAGAAATCTCAGAGAATTAAACTACTGCATCTGAATTCTTTTCAATCTCAATAACTGCGAGAAAATCACCACACAATAACAATAATCAAGATAATGATAATATGGCTGATGAAGCTGCTGCCTTGAGGTGATGTATTACTCAGATGAATGAAGAACTACATCAGATGAGAGCTTCTAGCAATTCTACTGCTACAGCTACTGTCAATGATAACAATAATCTAAGCTCTGATCTTGCTGCTTATCTTCAAAATCAAGATGACACCCCTGCACTGAGCAGAGTTCTTCAAGAATTTCATGAATGCATCAAATACCTTCAAAAACCAGGTCTTCTCAAATCAACATCTGATTATCTCATTTGAAAGGAAGAGATTCTGCTTGTTATCAAGCAATCTCACACAGAAGATCTCCTGAATGCAACTACAAAACCCTTGAAGAATGTCTCTAAGAATATGAAATGATTCTGAGAGGAACACAACTCCTGGCTATACAATTTTGTATGATCTTCTGTTTCTATTGAAGTCAAATCTCTTTTTACTATACCTCAAGATTCCCTAAGTTCTGCTGCTCTATGAAACATCATAGCAGCATTCTTTTCAGAACAGGTGAAAATCCACAGAGCTCACCTGTTCAAGGAATTCAATGATATCAGTGCAACTGCCACCTATGATGACTTCAACCACTTGTTCATAGAACATCTGCTTGCAATCCGTGTTGAGTATATTCACCTTGAATATGCTAATATTCCCAACTTCATATTCTTTGACAAGCTCCTCAACAGCCTCATCAAGAAGTGGTCAACCTTTATCAGAGATCACATGGACTATGCAGCAAAGGATGATAATGTCACATCACTAGAAGATGGTTTCCTTGATCTCTGCAGGGATATACTACTCCACCTGCTGTTGAATGACAAAAATGCCAGAGATGACACAAAGAATGCCAAAGACACCATCAAGAAGGATAAGGATAATAAGAAGAACAACAAGAAGTGCACCCACTGCAAGCAGGATGGCCATGAAGAGCCTTACTGCTGGTTCACACATCCTGAAAAGCATCCTGTCAATTGGAAGGATAGAACAAAGAATAATAATGAAAGCTCAGCGCCTACATATACCACTGTTGAGCATGTCTACTAAAATGATAACCATGATACTGATAACCATGATACCCGGGCTGTTGAATGCCCATATGATAACCCAGGATAAAGATGATACCCCATGATAACCATGATAACCCACGATAACCAGGCCACCGAGTGTGCCTATATGATAACCATGATAACCCACGATAACCAGGCCACCGAGTGCCTATATGATAACCATGATAACTCACGATAACCAGGCCACCGAGTGTGCCTATATGATAACCATGATAACCCACGATAACCAGGCCACCGAGTGTGCCTATATGATAACCACAATAACCCACGATAACCAGGCCACCGAGTGTGCCTATATGATAACCACGATAACAATAACAATAAAATGACAAAAATATGAGAAATGAGACCCTGCAGTGTTCAGATGACTGGGGGGATAATACAGATACAGAAAGGACAGATTTGAGTGTTTTTTCTTGCATATTCGCGTGTATTTGCATGTATGAAGCTAGTCCTTATGAGAAAACTAGACTCTACTTTGTGTAATTAATTATTATTGCAGATTTGAATGATTTGGGCGCTTTTGGCTGCGTGGGTTAACTGGCCTGCGTAGCATGGGGGGGTGTTGGAGCTACTACACAAGCCCTAACCCACGTGACCCACACACATATATTTAGCTTTCACTAGCTACTAGTTAGACAACAACAACCAACCACGTTCAACCTCTCTCACACCTACCCTAGTCACGTGCCACCCCAACCTATTTAGTGTAACTCACAACAACATTATCCTTAGGGTCAGGGTCCCCTGCAGATTCAGATTATTAATATCTTATTAATATCTTATTAATCACCACCACGAAGCGTTTGCTGGCTAAGGGCAGAGGCTGGAAAATGAGTCCCCACCGAACCGAACTGAACGCAACATCGAGCCGGCTGAATGGCAACTATGGGCTAGCTATCTTTCAACGAAGAAGGGTTCTTTTTGCCTCTGGTTATGGGTAGGTAACCTGGTATGATTTGACAAGCTCTTAGCCAGGGGGCTCAGGGGCAAATATATAAAGAGAGCAGCTCATAGCATAGTCTGTGAAAGGCTAAACTATATATAAACTATAACTATATAAGAACATACTAACTACATTAGGAGTAGTGCAATTGGTGCGTGCCTATATAATGGGTAACTATTGTGTGGAATTAAGCTTTTACACTCAAAAAAGCCTTTTGAAACCAAATGCTGCCAACGTTCAAATGTCCCCAGTTTCTGTATTTTTGTTTGCAGTCAGAACAACCGCAAAACTCGATCGCTTCTCTATTTCATTTTCCTTTTTACGTCTACTCGATGACCAGTTCCTGCATTTCTACGTATATCTATTGCATAGGAGAAGGGCACACTTCATATCGCTTGGCATACGAGCATGCTACAAATATATTGAGATACTGCGGTATCCATGTTTTTGCGCTTTCATCGTGGTGGCTATTTCGCTCCATTTCATGTATCATCATAGACTGGACAATTTCAACTTCGCATTTACCTTCTTCGTGTTATGCTTCTCTGACACCATGCCATACCCCTTCTATCCGGATGAATTGGCAAATAATCTAATTCTTCTCGACAGGCAACAGCCATTGGCCTCCTTACTCTCTCATCTATATCATACTCATTGGTGTCGCGCACATTTTTGTTGCTGTTCCCCCAACGCAACGGTCCCGTTGGCTTTCAGCATCATCATCTTTCTGGTTCTCTGGACTGTATCGCTGGGCGTGCTGAGCTGGAGGCTCTCCCGCACCATACTATACTGCTCAGCTGCAGCGCGAAACATTGGGGAAAACCAAGCGGAATTTCCTTCTGCCATCTATCTAAAACGCTCTTCTCCTTCACAGCCATCGACGTGGTTACCCCATGCTGCCTCCGTATTCCTCGACCACGCACGCATCATTCCCGGTACACGGAATTGTCATATGATGGGAATAACGAGGGTGCGGGGTGAGGAGGGGCGTTATTAAACCCGTGTAATATATACATGTATATATAGCGGTCGTTGTGCATGGGGACATGCTGATACTCTAGTATTTTGTTGTTCTTTTGGATGGATATACCTCCATTCTTAAGTGACATGGATTTCCTTCATGCATGTGCTTGCTTGTCTATGTATAAGTGCTAAGTGCCGAATGAACATTGATAAAATAGAAGAGATAAAGGGGTATATATAAAAGGGAAAATAAAATTACTCGTAACAAAACAACCTCCCGCTAACAGCTAACAAAATCCTGTAAAGGGAAAAAAAAAAAGAACCTGAATCCCTGGCTGCCACCAGTCAATCAATCTGCCGTGGATCACACTGTAATAGCCCTGGTCCCCTTGACAACTTGACAACCAACCACCCAGCCAAAAGCGCATGCAGCCACCTCCCAACCACCACACTCTCCAACATAACCAGTTTCCCTCCTTCCCCGCGGCGATAGGTAGGATGCCGAGGAGGAGGAGAGCGGAGGTACGCGTGCTTGGGATCGGGGAGTCGCACGGTGGAAGGAGAGGGGATGGGGAGGCGGTTAAGAGTAGAGAGCATCTTGACTCTCTGTTACCTTATGAAAGATGATATAGTAACTAGTTCTGCGCCTTCGGGTACGTTATGATTTGAAGTTGAGAAAGGATTTGTTGAACGGATAGTCATCAAAAACAATACAATGTAGCTTTTTCTTCGGCTTCCACTTCACACTGTTTACTGTTTATCAATGGCCATTTATATATACCCAAGCCTGTGAGACTGGCTGGGTGTTGTTGGGAGGTTTTATATACTTTACCTCAAATCGTTGGTCTGGAAGCCATATGATCCTCCTCCCGCATCATACTTTCTTGGAGGAGTCCGTTGGAGCATGAAGAATCGGCTAATTGACAGCGAATACGAATGGAAGCTCCGGGATGCCGATGCGCTAGGGAAGCCAATGCATAAATATCAGAATAATTATGCGCGACCAGGGACGTATGTTTACAGCGGACTTCAGATGATGAGTTTAAAATAAATAAATAAATTATAGCACTGATTAAGCAGAACAAAACAAAAAGAGGCATTTTCTCGCACATTTTCACGTTTGGACTGGAAAATATTTATCTAAAATGGGAGGGAGTATATGGAGGGCCATAACAAAAAGGGGGGCATAGATACAGCATAAGACACTGAATGGATGGGTTAGATCGCTTTACATGATGACTTCATTGGCGACGTCCTAAACATCGAGAAATAATTCGTTAGTTTCCTGTCTACTTTCAAAACAAATAGGGCAGTTTATGAGGCCTGGAATATCATATCATACCCTCTTTAACTCCTTGTACGGCAGGCAGACGCAATTCTGCACCCGCACCTCATCACCAACACCACACTCCTTGCCCAAAATCGTAATACTCTGCACCTTCACACCGTTCTTAACGATCGTTGTCGAATGGCTCCCGACAGGCGTTGGCGTGCCTTCTACTCGGGCCCATGCCCCCACCCGACTGCTCCATCCGATTATCGAGTACAGGACACACGCATCATGTTTAATCTCTACATCTTCGAGGACGATAGATTCTTTGATGCGAACACCAGCGCCAATGACAGCGCGGGCCCCAATGGAGACATTAGGTCCCAGTTTGGCGGTTGGATCCACGGTGGCGGTTGGGTGGATGTAGACGGGTGGTACAATGTTCGCCGAGGGCGTGGCGATTTCTTCGGATTGTGACTGGAACGCCTTTTGGAGGTATAGAGCGTTGGCAGGCACAGCGGAACCGGCGGTTTTGATCTGGCGCCAGAAGTCTTTGGTCTCGTGTACGAAGAAGCGGTTGCTATCTGCGAGGTCAGAGAGAATATCTTGTTCGAGTCGGAGGACTTCCGGTTTCTCGCCCTCTTCATCTTGGTTGACGACGTGGTAGGTTTCGAGGTTGTCGGAAGATGGGTAAGAGAGGAGGCGGGGCCGCGCGGTGCGTCGCTTGATTGCGCTGCGGATGGAGGGGAATATGCACTCTGTGGCGAAGAGGTAGACACCGCAGTTGATTAGGTTGGAGATATGGGATTCAGGCTTTTCGACGTAGTGTAGTACGCGTTTGGAATGGCTATCGGACACGATGCAGCCAAAGTTGGTGGCGGCATCATTGCTCACTCGAGTTCCTAATATAACCGCCTCTGCATCCTTCTCTTCGAACAGCTTGAGCATCTCCCCAAGCGGGAACGAGCAGCAGACATCTGCATTGAGGACAAAAAAGCGCTCTGGGCGGCCCTTCAAAATGGCATCTCGGAAGTGGTAGAGGCCTCCCGCGGTGCCCAAGGCCTGATATTCTCGAAGATATTGGATGCGGAATTGAGGGAATTCCTTGGTGGAATCCTTGATGAAATCCCGGAAAACAGTTTCGTCGTAGTAGCCTACAAGGATGACTTCTCGAATGCCAGGGACTTTGGCAACAGCTCTTAAGCAGTGCCAGATGATGGGGTGGCCAGCGACTTCAAATAACGGCTAGAAAGCATATCAAAATGGGGCCCCGTCAGTAAAATCTTCCTCGAATAAGTCTCACGTACGTATGTATATGAACTGGTGGTAGTGCGGATTTTGCTTCACCAGGGAGGGGTGGTGGTGGTGGTGAGGGGTATGGAGATGGTCTGACCTTCGGAACATCAAGGGACAAAGGCCTAAATCTGGTGCCTCTCGAAGGCCCGCCCACCTAAGAGACCATTTGTCAGCTTAAATTCCCGTATTGCATATATCGGACCATTGCATTGCGTACAAGGATGACGGCCTTTGTGGAAGCCATATCGGATTCCCTGATGGGGATTTGGAGCATGGATGGTAAGTTCTCGAGGCCGTAAATGGATTCTCGAGGGCGGGGGGGGGGGGGGGGGGGGGCTTTGTATGAAGATGTGCAAGGCTTTGGTTAGTCGGGGTTAAATAAGGCGCGATGGCGACAAGAGAAGCAGTTGAAGATAAAGTCCAGAGGAAGCTACACACACATACGGTGGAGGACACTTTGGAGGCGGGGGTTCGGAGTACACAACAAGAAGAATTCAGGCACAAGTTGTATAAACCAGAGGAAATCGCTAATAATGGTATTAAATATTGTATTTGAAGAGCTGGCACTGCTAGCTGTAATTCTCGTTTTCTTTGTACTGGTAAATAAATAGTTACACGAATCGATATTGGGCGGTGAGGTTTGAGAGTTGCCCATCTTTGGGATTTGTTGTTGTCTCCCCCGCTAGTTAAATAGTTAACTAAGTCAACTAGTTATTTAAGTTAACTATTTAACTCACTCGACTCCATAAATAACCAGAAAGAAATCCCGTGATCCAAACAGTCGCAGTTTGGCAACCTTTGGACCCTCAACCTCAACTTCCCCCTTTCTGATGTGTATACAATTGGGAGCTACATATCACAGATATTTCCAGCTCTTTTGATGCTTCGTTGTAGAGGAAGAAACCCACTCTATATACATGATCTGTAATTATGTCAAATATATTCTGGGATCTACTCTTCCCCAGGTACGGCTTGTTTGTGCCTGTAAAGGAGTCAGTCCCCTGCATAACAATGAGCTGTGAAGACATCCGCAAAGTGAGCCGCTCAACACAACACTTTGGGCTACCACTGTATTGTATTTCTTTACAGCTTTATTCAACAATAACACTGACCAATGGCGGTTGGCATCACTCTCTGTTACTGTCCTGTGAAGTGTTGCTATAAAGGAAAACCTTCTCCCTAACTTCCCCTCTCTTCTACTCATATCCTTTTCATCTCAAAGGAACCTTCTCTATCTCCTATTGACTATCTTATAGATTGGAGATAGGACAAGTAGAATCGCAGTATCAGAACCGTTCGTTCTTTTCCCTACTTTTACTTTGTCTCTTCTAGTTTGTCTTTCTACTTCGTTTCCTCGAAAATTCCTCCAAAACAAGCCAACCCAAGAGCTTCCCCGAACTAGCTTCGTGGCCTCGAGGTTCCCATTTCAAATCATTTTGTCTTGCGTGCTGGATATCTGCCGTTTCCTTCTCTTTTATTTACAACTCTGTGCACTACGCCAGCATGGTTCAGCACCGTATTTCTCTTGGGAGCCACCCTGTTTCGGATTCTCCTGGTACCCTCTTCCATATCTTCCTGTGTTGTATATATGATATTCTAACGACCTACATACGTATAGAGACAGTTGCTGAGAGTACTCCGCTGATCGTGGAGGAAAATGACTCCATTGATATGATTTCAAGGACGATGAAAGCTTTAGTCAAGAAAATCCAGGACTTGCGCCACTTGGGAATCGAAAATCATAAGCTACCCCTTCCAAAAATCTGTGTTGTGGGAGATCAGAGCACGGGTAAAAGTTCACTCATTGAAGGAATGAGTGAGATCAAGGTTCCCAGGAGTGCTGGCTGTTGTACTCGTTGTCCCCTAGAGATCAACCTCTCAGACTGTGAACCGGATGCACCATGGACTTGCAAAATCTTCCTAATGAAGAAGTACATCTATAGCACTCAGTTGGCTAACCGTGGTGGGAGAGGTAAAGGTTTAGGGCCCTGGGTTGACCAGGACCCCGAGATGATTCCCTTCGTGACAATAACGGACAAAGCTGGTGTGCAAGATGCCCTGAAATGGGCGCAATGCGCTACCCTTAATCCGTCAGCGTCTCATGAGGACTACATCCCAGGCAATAATTTGGGAACAGATGAAACCACTCAAGTCAAATTCTCCCCGAATGTTGTGCGTCTGGATATTTCTGCACCCCGCTTCCCTAACCTCTCTTTCTATGACTTACCAGGAGTCATCAATGTTGCAGAAATCGATACAGAGAAATACTTGGTGACCCTTGTTGAAAATCTTGTGAAGCAATATATCTCGACAAGTAGCTGCATTGTGCTCCTGACCCTCCCTATGACCGATGATGCCACCAATTCCAGCGCTGCAAGGATCATCAGAGAGGTTGGAGCAACATCTAGGACATTGGGTGTTCTTACAAAGCCAGATCGCATAGGCTATGGGGAAGGGTATGACCAATGGAAGGAGATCCTCCGTGGTGAAAAGTTCACCGTCGGTCATAGCTACTATGTTGTTCGCAACAACCCAAACCCGCAAGTCGAACACAGCCAAGCTCGTGAGGAGGAAGAAGAGTTTTTCAGCTCTGGACCGTGGAGAAATGAGCTGGTTGAGTATAGCGATAGATTCGGCACGCGGAACTTGCAAATGGCACTCTCAAAGCTTCTGAAACAGCAGATTGAGCTCAGTTTACCTGGGATTATGCAACAACTCCAAGCTCGAGCGCAAGAAGTCAAAAAGGAGCTGACGACTCTTCCTGATCCCCCTTCTGCCAATATTCAATTTATTTTGTCTGATAAATTGAACGAATTGAATAATGCCATGCATGCACATATGAATGGCACGTCGCTAGGCTCGGATTACTCCCTCCAGAAACAGTGGATGAAGATTGCTGCCGACTTCCAACATAGCTTGTTGGTCACTAGGCCGACAATGAGAACGTTTGCTGTGGTAGAAAACTTCACTACTAAGCAGCCAACCTCGAATCCAGTAGGCAGGGCGGCATGTGACGACGACGAGGGAGATTGTGAGATTACTGAAAGTCGTCCGTCTCCTAACAAACGTAAGGTAGGCACGGTGGAGCCTGATGGGGGTGTCAAGAGACAGATGAAATCGCCAATAACGCATAACACCCCAAGGCCAGTCAAAATCTGTATTCCACTGAACACTTCGGTAGATTTAAAGGTTAGCATTTATCTATGAAACCAACTTTAATAATTTTCATCTGTTAATCATACCATTGCTGATCTGAAATCATAGGCCCTGTGAAAGTATTCACCCTGGAAGAGATTCGGGAAATTAGCAGCGAGACCTATGCCTCTGGCGTTCCTGGGCTTGCCAATCCCTATGCTGTTGAAGAGATGAACAAGCTCAGCGTGATGCATTGGGAGCAGCCCATGAAAGAGTTCCTCACAGCGACCTATGAGTTGATGGAAGCCTTTCTCATGGGTAAACTGGACGTTGTGTTTTCCTCTTACCAGCGCACGGCACTCTATGGAAAGTTGAGGAAGATAATTCCAAATTTCCTGGAGTCTTTGAAAAACCCTCACCTCCGCGCCGCCAATGAATTTTATCAAGTTGAGCAGATGAAGCCTTTCACGATGGCCACTGCCGCCTTCCAAAGCGCCCAGAGGGAAGCGCTTGATATCCTCAAAACGAAACGGCAGGCGTCTCGTGTGATGCGTTTCTTGGAGAGTGGAGATACTTTGGATGGTGGAAGACGAGTCGGCCCGAGCGGAATCTCCGATGCCCAAATGGGGGAGGACGAGTATGCTAAGGAGATTGAAATCATGGCGGTATAACTGTCATCACTTATATGTGTAATCGTTCTGAACTAACGCCTTTTTACCTCTATGTAGGTATCCAGAGCCTACTACGAAATTGCTAGCTCCCGCTTTGTGGACACGCTCTGCCAGAGCGTCCACACGAAATTGTTCTTCAAATGCGATCGGGAACTTCATTCAGTGATCATAAAGGAACTTGGAATATTGGATAATAACGGTACGGTAAACTGACGTATATATCTAGATATCCAACCTATTACAGCTCCACTAGGAATGATAGGGCGATACGATACATCCTCTATGTCAACTAAGTTGCTAACCACTATACACATCTCTTACCTAGCTTCCGAACGCTGCATGGAGCTAATGGTCGAAGACCCCGAACGCCAAAAGCGCCGTCGCGATTTGAAGAAGGAGGAGGAAAAGCTTAGAAAGGCAATGGGTTCATTGAGTACTATTGAGGAGGATGCTGGCAGCGCTGATGCAGCTGGTCCAGCCGATTTTGATCTGTTGCATGCTGGGCAAGCATGAATGGCCACTGCTAGTGAGAATTACTGATGTCGGAGATTTGATGTTTTTAGGCACATGTTTGTAGCTGGAATGAAGTGGGGGTTTCTTGCTTTGGGTTTCGATTAGTTCATGTTGGGTTGAGTCATGTTGGAAAAAAAAAAAAAAAGCACTGAATGATATTTGATACTTGAGGAAGTCACTTTGCGACTGAGAGTTTCGTAGTAGATTTGTAATTTGTAATGACTGAACGGGGAGGGGTGTCTACTGTGCTCATACATTCCAATAATAATAGCAAAAAAGAAAAAAAAAATTAGAAGTCAATGACCGGAAATTTTCTTGACTCACCCCATGCAAATCATCCCCTCCAACAATCCGGAAACCCCACCAACACACTGTCACAAAAAAGTATTTCTCCAAACACCGCAATCAATTGAGTTCATAAACTTTGACCACATTCTAGGGTGTGTCGCAAATACCTACGTCCGGCTAAATATCGTGGACATATCTTGCAAAACAATAAACCATTTGTGATTCCCCGCTTCTTGCCCCTCCTTCGCCCCCCACGCATACACGATCCGATCACAACAACAATAAACAGCAATGGCTGGACCAGACCAAGGGCCGGACGCTGATGCCGCCGCCGACAACCTCGCCAACCTGCACCTTGACGAAGTCACCGGCGAGCGTGTGTCTAAGTCGGAATTGAAGAAGAGACAGAAGCATCGGGCTAAGGAGGCGGAAAAGGAGAAGAAGGCCGCTGCCGCACCGCCCAAGCCAGAGAAGAAGGCTAGTGCTGAGGAGGAGGAGAGCAATCTGACGCCCAACGTGAGTTTTCTATAGGAATCATGAATTTGTGTCAAGGAGTAGAATTAATTCATTAAGTACTAACCATTTCTTTTATATGTATTATATAGCAATACTTCGAGATCCGAAGTGGACGAGTGAATAAACTCCGACAGACGAAGAGCCCCAACCCATACCCACACAAGTTCCAGGTCACGGATGATGTACGAGAGGTCATTAAGCAGTACGAGTCACTGCAGAAGGGTGAGCAAGTCAAGGACAAAGAACTGCGCATCGCAGGACGGATCTATACCAAGCGGGCGGCAGGTGCCAAATTGATTTTCTACGACGTTCGTGCTGAAGGGGTCAAGATCCAAGTCGCATGCCAAGCGCAGAACGTGACGGGTGACGTATCCTTCGAGCACCAACATGAGCATCTGAGAAGAGGAGACATTATTGGCGTTGTTGGATTTCCAGGCCGCACTGCTCCGAAGAACCGCGCGGATGGGGAATTGTCGATATTCGCCACGGAGGTCGTGCTGCTCGCACCCTGTCTACATCAGATCCCCTCGGAGCATTACGGACTTCGAGATCAGGAACAGCGCTATAGACAACGGTATCTGGACTTGATTATGAACGACAAGTCGCGGAATGTCTTCATCACCCGATCTAAGATGATCACGTACATCCGCCGCTTTTTCGATGAGCGCGACTTCATCGAAGTGGAGACTCCCATGATGAACACTATTGCTGGCGGTGCCACCGCTAAGCCGTTTGTCACGCACCACAACGACCTCAACATGGACATGTTCATGCGTATCGCGCCGGAACTTTATCTCAAGATGTTGATTGTTGGTGGATTGGAGCGCGTTTATGAGCTGGGTCGCCAATTTCGGAACGAAGGCATTGATCTCACTCATAACCCAGAATTTACCACTTGTGAGTTTTACTGGGCATACGCGGATGTCTACGATATCATGAACGTGACCGAGGAGCTAGTTTCTGGGCTCGTGAAGCACATCACCGGTGGCTACGAGACTACCTTCCATACCCAGACGGGTGAGGAGTACAAGATCAACTGGAAAGCTCCCTGGAAGAGAATTGAAATGATCCCCGCCCTTGAAGAAGCCACGGGTGAGAAGTTCCCACCCGGAGATCAGCTGCATACCATGGAGACAAACGCGTTCCTCAAGAAGGTCCTGAAGAAGGTCAATGTCGAATGCACGCCGCCTGAAACAAACGCGCGCATGCTCGACAAGCTTGTCGGCGAGTTCATCGAAGAGACCTGCATCAACCCGACCTTCATCACGGGCCATCCGCAGATGATGTCCCCACTCGCGAAGTACCATCGCGACCACGTCGGGCTGTGCGAGCGCTTTGAAGCCTTCGTGTGCAAGAAGGAAATCGTCAATGCGTACACGGAGTTGAACGACCCCTTTGACCAGCGTCTGCGGTTTGAAGAACAAGCCTCCCAGAAGGCCCAGGGCGACGACGAGGCGCAGATGATCGATGAGAACTTCTGCACGAGTTTGGAATACGGCCTCCCGCCCACTGGCGGCTGGGGAATGGGTATTGATCGACTTGTCATGTTCCTGACTGATAATTATAGTATCAAGGAGGTGCTGGCGTTCCCGTTCATGAAGGAGGAGAAGCATACAGGTGCAAAGGGGGAGAAGTTGGCGGCTGAGGTTGCTGGTATTGAACCATTGCCAGTGGAGGGAATTCGTAAGTCCAAGCAGAGTCCCCTTTTCCCTGCACTTTAAATATTTCATGAATACTGACTTTGGTTTACATCAGCACACAAATAAATGTTTAGTAAAGCATTGTGTCAATTTCATGAGTGATGACTATCTGGATATGGGAGTGGTTACGAAACGATGTTAAAAACTAGAAGTCAGTCATTCAATAGTTTCCCTTGTCGTGGGCCTGGGATATCATTTATTTCTATTGCTGAAATTCTAAGGAATGCTAAGGAGTATCTTACTCAATATTTACGTGCCATGTTTCCCCCCTTTGAGTCCAGTTCCTATATTACGTGACAGGCATACATATATCAAAAATGAGGCGATGAGTATTTATTTATTTATTTTTTGTTTTCTATTTTCCTTTCCTTCAATGAAAGAATCTGCCGTCCCCAACCCGCTTTCTTCCACATGGAACTCGCCGTTGTTCTATTGCATCCGTGACCAAAAACAAAAGGAATCAACCCCAAGGCAAACGGAAATCAAAGGGAATAAATAAGGGAGCTCTTTTCTCTTATACTTCTTCTATTCTGTCGCCTTTTTTATTTTATTTTATTTTATTTTTATTTTATTTATTTTAATTTTTAATTTTCCCCTTCTTTTTTCCCTTTGCCTCTCGGTTTCCGTTTGTCCCTCAACATGGCCACAAGATCAATGAAAACAGCCCAATCCCCACCAGTCAGTGAGTGAACAATCTATAACTCTCTCTAATATGGCCGCCCCTAGTCCCACCCCTCATATAGTCACCGTATATTTCGTCATCTTTACATTTCCTATGTCTTTCTTGACACGGGGAATATATATATGACTACTGAGACTGCCATTTTCACTCCCACAGGACAAAATTTATTTCACCAGATGGCCACAGCAAATTAACAGCCTGGAAACTTCCCCACTGCGGTCAAGATGGCATAGAACAATATGCGTGAATATGACCTTTGCGCTCTATTTAAGCTGCTCTTCTCTTGCCAGTGGGGCTGCTTCCTCTCTCATACGTGCATTAATATCGCGATTCTTTATGTATTCTATCACCCCTTACCTATCCTTACCTCTGTTGACCCTGTTTCATCCACATAGGCCCATCCAACCGCTCCTCTAAGATACCTCCTCAGTTGGCGACGTCAAGAATCATTTCTGCGTTTTCGCCTTGATTAACTGGGAGCGTGAGATAATATTTTTTAGGCCCTTTCTCCATTTGTCTCTGTCGTTGTCTTTATCGTCTACACTTGAATCCTATACTAAGGAAGGCTCTTCTCGTGGAGAGAGTGTGTGTCTGTTTTCGCTGCTACATTTACCCCAGGCATCTTTGGACATTCAGCAGCATTAAAAAGATTGCGGGATAGTATTTGAACTACTAAACATTTCGATATCCTTGAGTTATTCTTTTACCAACTCACAATCTACCCACTTGTCTTACCGTATACCCTCATTCTTGATTCCCTCCTTCAATCAAAGAGATCCTTCGCGTCTCTCCTTTCTCTTGCTCCATTCTACATCCTCAAAGAACATACCACATCATTGTTCACGACAGGACAGCAGTGAAGTATCGTCAAGCAGCTGTTCTGCTTTTCCCAAACTGTTTTTAATATTTGGATATCTTGTCAACTCAGGGGCCTTTTGACCTCTGCCAGTTTGAAACCTATTCATCTACAAACTGTCTCCTCACAACACACCACGCCCTCATTTCCTATCATCTTGCATATGACTCTGTCTCATTTAACATCCAGCAAACTTTAACGACTCCCTCTATTGCCTTCCACTATTGTCTCCCATCATCACTCTCCACTGCCAGAACAGGAATCCAGTCGAAATATTCACATTAAGTTCTCACCTATAGTCCACCCACTCGGATATATCACACCATGGAAGCAAAGAACTACTCATCCATCTTGAGAAAATTTTCATCGAAGCCCCCTCCATCCCGCTCCCGTCGCGAATTATCCTTTCAGCAAGTTGATTCGAGCTCACGAACCCATGCATCCAGCCGCCGTGCATCCAGGCGCACATCCCTCAAACTATCCCCACCACCGTCCAGCCCCGAGGACTCTAGCTTAAGTAAGACGCCTGACAGAGATGTCTCCCCTCTGTCCCTCCCTTCACAGTTAGAAGTAGTTAAAAAGCCAGCCTCAACGCCAACAGTGTTAAACAATACTGCTCCGCCCCCGCTTCTTATCCACATACAGCTGCTCCGCATACCAACTTCAAGCAGATTCTCATCCACACAGCGAAGTGTGACAAATGCAATAACCATAACAAGGCGATATTGCGACGATGTACGACCTGCGGGTTCCAGATATGCACGCCATGTTGGGTTAATAGGGGCGGTGGGCAGCACACGGCCACGAGGGTGTTTAGGGGGCCGGTGTTTAATCCCAATGCTGCAAATGATGAGGAAGTGGATCAAGGGGATGAAGGAGGTGATAACGAAGAGGATGAAGTCGGGGATGGTAGTATATCGGCGTCTGACGATAGCGACGATGTGGGGGATGCCATAGTCGTCTCCGATAATGAGAAGGAAGGTGGGGTCCTTTCGATACATTCGGTTGACGAGCCTGAGCCCCCTCCACGCCCTCCAAACCTTCGACATAACGATTTGGATATTCCGTACCACGATCCACAGACAGGGGAAGTCTCGCGACCCATGTACGCCTACAGTAGCGACCCACAAGCTACTAACTCTGAAGACACCAATGGTGCGAATGAACTGCCGGTAAATAAACGCACTCGCGCACGCTCTATCACCCGTCGATACACCCGTGGCACCCCTTCCAACCAGGCACGGAAGGACACCAGCGATGACGAGAGCCTTGTCGAAATCACCTGTGAGCCCGCGAGAGGCAAGATCAAAGACAGGGGCGGTCTCTATTACAGCGATTTGACACCTGAATCCCGCGAACGGATCGACATCCTCATCAGCACCGCCATAAACCTATTCCAAGGTGCCAGCTTCAACTCCTCCCAGAGCCAAGCCACCCACCCTCCCACCTCCAACAATTACCCCCTCCGAACCAACTCTCCCCCAATCAACTCACGCTCCCCCCTTTTCGTCCCCATGGAACCCAACGATCACCCCGCAACGGCGTACAACGCGCGTCTCTCACATGCCGGCACCCCCCGTGGAAGTCCTAGGACTAGTCATAGGCGCCCGTTCCACATGCCGCATGGGAAGGGGATGGGGGACAAAAGGCAGACGACCCGCCAGTCGCGGCCGCCTGCCCCCAACCCCCCTGCCCGGAAACGAAAAAGGGATTCAGGCGATGTTGAGAGGCGAGAGCGTATTTGGAGGGGCCCGTTTCTTGATGAGAGCTCTGATGAGGAGAAGGGGACGCGAGGACTCTAGGATGGAGAGGAACAGGGGTAAGATAGGGCATGTTGAGATGGTGAGGGTGCGTGCGGAGGTGGTTGAGCAACAACAATATAGTGAATAATGGTGGTTTGGAGTTAGGAATTTGCTTTTGTTATAAATACCAGGAGGGCTTGTGTGTGCAGTTTATGTCTTGGGATTTTTGGGATTTGGTTTAATGATGTGATGTCTGATGATTGGATGGATGATATTGTTGTTTGCACTGTTCAAATTTGTTCTGAGAATCTATTTTCATATCATGTCTCATCTTTTTGAAAAGAAGATGCAGAGGGATTGAAACATGAGATTTGATGAAATCTTCACTCCTTTTTCTTTCTTGTTTGCTGATGCATCTTTATATTTCCTGTAACTCTTGTTTGATCAGTTATATCGTGCTGGCCATATTCTGCAAGCTTCCTGCTACATGACAGCTGAATTTATAATCCTTGTTTGGCTCTGATTTTGGACCCTTTTATTTATCATTTACAGGAAATGAGCTAGCAAATACCCAACTCTGTTTCATGTTTCTCTTCTGCATTCAGGCGTTCTCTTTTTTGGTCGGCGCTGAGTCTCTCCTTTCGCCTCAGCAACAACAGCAATCCATTTTTTATCCTGTCTGTTTTTCTACTGCAGTATCTGACTTTGTCTTAATTGAAAAACTCCTTAACATCTCAAGATGTGTTATACCATTCCCTCTGTTCTCTGCTCTTATCTTCTTACGTTGCCATTCTTCGGCTTGTACTGTATCTTTATAACAGAGCCATGATATTACTTCCTTGTCCATCCACATAAGTATGCAGAACAGTGGGGAAAATAAGGAAATGTCATTTCTTTGATCTCTAGTTCGGTGGTTCGCGTCTTTCTTACCGTGTACGGAGTACCGCTTTCATTTTATTTGCTGTCTGCTTAACTCCCTATTCTTTGATGCTGCTGTGTAACTCGCCGTTTCAATATTGCTGTGTAGGAATATATAATACCTGCCACCATATGGAAGCAACATGGAGACAAAAATTAAGGTATGATATTTGTTTGTGATTTTTCCTTTTTTTTTTCCCCCCGAGTTTTTCTATGGTAATTTTTGAGTCTTGCAGGGAGTCAAGCTTGGATGTTTGATGCCAGGATGTGAATATCTTGAAGGGTGTGAGGAGCCGGCGTAGATTAGGTAGACATGTTTTACAACTGATATTGTGATATTAAGATAATCATGCTAGAAGTGACTATGAACATGTAGATCGTTGGCTATCGGTGGATGAAGTATATACAATAGATGTGAGCGGGAGAAGAGAGGGGTGCAAAAGCAGAGATATGTGCGTGTTAAAAAGGAAATAGAGGGATAGATAAAATACATAGTATAAGAACACAAGAGAATATGAATGGAACCTTGCTCATCTGCAAAGCTCCACTAAATTTACGACACGCACGCGAGATACCATCCGGCCCCTATTGACCAGCAACAGGCTTTGGCACAGGTCCCTTATTCATCTTCGCTGCCATCTGTAGCAGCCGCGCCGTGCGCGACGGATGCCAGACTCTGCTCCCAAGCACAAGAACCCATGTTAAGAGCAACAAGCTACCAGTCTGATGTGCCGAGGCGAGATGCATGGGAACCAGATATACGAGCGTGGAGATACCAAGGGAGACCTGTAGGAACGTGAAGCCGACAACGCCGTGCATCCCTTTCTTCGCGACCTTGGGTAGTAATTGCTTAACAGCAGGGGAGAAGTGCGTATAGGCCCACAAGCTCATGACAGAGGAGAACGTCGTTAAGGCTAGGATGCGATGGTTGAGCTGGACCAGGGAGGGGTTTTCGAGCATGTTGCGCCACCATAGGTCCGTCCTATCGGCCAGGCGCGAATATTGAGCGGAGAAGAGTTCTGAGGTGGGAGGGGCTAAGCCTTCGCCCATCCAGGGGAATTCGTTGTAGATAAGGCCTGCATCCAGACCCGCGACGAGCCCACCGGACATGACAGTGGTGAAGACGAGGAGGGCGAGGCCGGCAACGGATTTGCGGAAGACGCTGAGTTTGGGGTGGCGGAGGGCATTGAGGATTTCCATGCCGTTGGCGGGATCTTTGAGGAGGAGGTGGGAGCGGAGGATCGCGAGGCCGTTCCAGAGCATAGCCGTGTAGCAGACGAAGGCTGTGCCCAGGTGCGCGGTTAACCTGTACTGGCTCACTCTGGGATGGCTGCCGGGCGCGAAGAGGTCTTCCACTAGTCCTGACTTAACCATCCACCAGCCGATGAAGCCTTGGAATCCGATCAGGCCAGATATACCTAATAACCGTAGAGCCATTGGTTTGGTAACCCTCTTGGTTGCGAAGAAGTAGGCTGCTGGGAGGACGAAGGATAGGCCCACAAAGCGGCCCCATTGCCTATGTATCCACTCCATGTAGTAGATCGATTTGAATTCGGAGAGCGTCATATTCGGGTTCAGGACCTGGTATTCCGGTGAAGATCTGTATTTGGAGAATTCTGATTCCCAGTCATCTGCGTTGAATGGGGGTAAAGATCCTGTCACGGGTCTCCATTCTGTGATACTCAGTCTGGGAGGCATATATATGTTAGTTATGTCCTGGGTCTTCATTAAAGATTATCAACCCAGTGAGAGGTAGATGGGAGTGAAGTGAAAAACAAACCCGGATTCAGTCAGCCTCGTCAACCCCCCGAATACGATTAGCCCAAAAACAGATGCAGCACTCCCCAGCAACCAATATGCGACAATTTTACTGCTCACATCGGGATATTTGGATTTGCCGGCTGGGGTGGCATTAGTAGCAGCCTTCGCGGTGGAAGCGGAAGCGGAAGCAAAGGGCGCAGATCTCAGTATCGAGGAGCTTTGTATCCGTGCAGCAGCGGACGTAAAGGGCGTGAACCTAGGACCTGGAGCTGTGCGGAAAGGGAGCATGCCCACCCATCTTCGCGACGAACTGTTGAATTGAGGTTCCTTCCGCAGGCATTGCCGGCAGGTGAAGAACTGCTTTGGAAAGCGGGGAGCCAGGCTCCTAAACATAGGAACGGCAGAGGCCATTGTGGCAGTTGGCAGCCCGCAATGCAATTCCCGGTAGCATGCAATGCGTCGATATTTATCTGTCTATCCAAATGCGAAATTTCTACTATTAAGAGGTTGAGGTCAAACTTTCCGCTGCCTGATTGGGAGCGGGACGAATATGCACGTGATTGCCAAGCCCGTACTCCGCGGCAATATTTATCCGAACCACCATTGGAACTAGTTTAGTCAGCAGGGTTTCGTCGAGTCACCGCCTTTGCTCTTTGGGCTTGACTGCGTTGGTTTGACGACGACGACGACGTTACTTGACTCGACTACGTTGACGCTTCTGTATGGCCGCTTTGGCTGCGATGTGTCCACCTGGCGGCGTGGATGGGCTCCAAATGCACCCGTTGACAAGTAGGAATAGCTGGTTGCACGGGATGTATACCCGCTGAGGGGGACCCAAGGCTGCCCTGCCCCGTGATATCATGCTATTCTTTTTCTGAAGGTTGCTTCACTGTTGTTGCTGTTGGTAGGTGTGCCTTACCACATCATATCAACCCAATATGAGGAACAACTCCACTTCTCATATACTTCGTGATTGGAGAACCAGAGGACCCTTTCTCCGATGTTCATGCAGCCGCCGGCTGAGTTTAAAATATGTGAGGTTATCGGAACGAGCGCTTGAGAGATGGAGCTCGGTATAAGATATCCCTCTCATCTGCTCTGTTGTGATTGCACCAAGTACCAGTATAAGCATTGAATTCTTGTATATTTGATTTCATGCTATTTCTTTATTTTTTAGGTCAAAGAGTGACTTTCTGTTAAGACAATGCACAGAGATCGACAGAGATACAGTGCTGAGTGGCAGAAAATGATGCCCAATTCAGTCACTACCAGCAATTATCATCATCACAATACTTCACAGTTTGACAATGATGGCCATCAATCTTATCAATCTTTCCAGAACCACCTAGAGAAAAAAGTGTTGTTGTCGCCTTTTTCATCGAAACAGGAAGACAGCCCTTTGCAAAATGTGAAAGCTCCAATGAACAACTGCTGTTCATCCTCATCCATTTCCTGCAAAAGCCCCTTAATCCACCCGAGTCATTACTGTCCTGTACAGGTTATCAGTGCTCTGATATCCTCATTGTCGAAAGACATAGGCAGAACGCGAAGCTGTAAGCGCGCCCCACCTACGGCTGCCTCTGCCACCCTCCCATTGCCATCGAGTGTTGTTCGGCCTCAGAAGTCCAGACGGGCGCGCAACAAGTCCGCCTCCAGCAGTTTAGAGTCGCCTTCATCGGAGTGGCTAAACTTGATAAGTTCATGGCCAAGGAAAGCACAGGTTTCCCGAGAAACCGCAAATCCACGCTCCTATGCCGCGTTAACCGCGGAAGCTAGCCTCAACGCTGATTTTTTGGATTGCGACTACACCATGGCAGATCCCGCCTCTGTAATAGGTAAAATGCCCTTTCCCCCCCCTGTCCCCCTCCTCTTATAGAATGACTGATTGTGATTTCTTTGTTTAGCTGGAGCGTATCTTCCCATTGGCTCAATATCTACAGTGACGGTTATGCCTGGCGGTGCTGTAGAATGTAAAGCCGATGTCACCGTTAACGCCTTTGAGTCAACTTACAGTTTGCATCGCTGTATCCTCGAGAGAGTCCCTTACTTTGCTGCCATGCTTTCCGGCCAATGGAATGAAACTGGCAACCACGTACTTTCAATCTTTCCCGATGAAATGGACCCAAACATCACGAGAGTGGGATTTGAAGTTGCTCTTGAGTATATGTACGGTCGGAAAGTTATGGACTTGATCGAATTGGATCCTATCGGGGTATTCGCCGCCTGCCAATGGTTAGATCTCTCTGAGCTGTTGAAATGGGCAGTTCAAAATATCATGCACCACTTGGATATCTCGAACATCCATTTGATTTTGTCTATATTCACTGAATATCACTATGGGAAGGAAGGAAGAGTGGTACTAGATGCTGCGAAGTCTTTACTGCGCCTACGTGGCTGTGAAATGCCACTCGCTGTTTGGGATCACATCCCCGCGGAGATCGTCAGAGACATAGTTGGTGGCGATGCGTTTTACATGCCCTCCGAGCTCAAGCGGTGGGAGTACGCAGTGTCCCTTCTAGACCGAGTTCTGGAGTCTAAAGCCTCGAAAATGCGAATCCCCTTCTTGAACGACAACGCCTCAGCTCCTGCCCATGTTAAACGTCAATTGGAAGGCATCCTTCCCGATGACCCTCCGGAAGCCGACACGGACACGGAGCTGGATTTTGAAACGGATCGCCAATTCTCGGAAGATATGCACAATCAGTGGCTCAATCTCTACACGCACCCGGACATCCTTCCTATCCGACAAATGATTATGGAAGACATTGCATACATGCACATCCCGCTTGAGCATTTTCGAAGAGTTCAGTCTCATCGTGACATCTTCGGGGTGCGTCCTGTTCAGCCGGCTGTGATCCATTCTGCGTTTGTACAGGCATTAAAGCTTGCGCACCTGGTCGATACTGCTGATGAGTTCAGCCTGAAATTGGATATCGGACATGCTACGTTCATGAGCGAGTTTCCCGCACGCCAGCGCTCGCAAATACACCGTTTCCACATAGATTCCGGCTTTTACCCATGCTCCATGCCTGGTGGGGATGTGATCCGCCGCGAATATCCTGTTACGAAGGAAGATACAACAACGTCGAACCTTACAGTTACGCGTAAGGCAAGAGGGTTTATTCATCAGGACTGCAACAAGCACGCAGGGCAACAAGGATTCCGTACCAGTCATCTCGTTATGGGCTGGGAACGTCGCGATTTCATAAAACCACTGCCAATCACTTCCACTGTCACGCATCCTGACCACAGCCCCTTTCCGCCATTTAGATTCTCAACAACCTTTCCCCACCCGGCCACACTGGAAAATAGGCAACGATTATTCTCGTCTCCTTTCTGGTACGCAGGTGCAACATGGGTCCTCTATCTCTGCCACAACACCATCCCCAAAGCGAGCAGCGTAGGACTCTACCTCCGACGCATCTACGACACTCGCCCCGCGGAACCTTCTCTGGAAAGCTGGAGCTCCCGCATCAACCCACCAGGCATGGCCCACTACGAACCGCTCGTCGCTTGCCACTCCAGACCCAGCAACCCCCACCTAGACGAGCCGTCCAACTATTACAACGAAGCTTACCCAAGACTCGATCTCGTCGGAGACAGGTTCGGGTCCCGAAACGGCGTGGGACATTCTCTTGGGCGCGAGAGGGATACCCCTGCCATGCTCCCCTACGTCGACATTCGCTCCTCTGTCACCGCGCACTTCAAGCTATACTCCAACTTCGTGTGTGCGGGACAGCCCGCGTGCTTTCAGAGCAAGCCGGAGCAGTTTCAGATCGATAGGTGCTGGGGGTGGGATGTGCGCGTGCCTGATGGGCAGGAGCCGTTGTTGGACCTATGTGGTAATCCATTGAATGAGAGGCAGTTGAAGATTTGTTTGGTTATTGGTAGGTGATGTTCTTAACTTTTCTTGATTTCCCCATGCTTTCTTTCATCTTGGTTCATTGTTTGAGTTGTTGGTATCTGTGTGTACTCATTGACTGACTCTCTTACCTTTTTGTTGTTTTTAGGCATCCTGTGAGGTGTGGTAGTTAATGGCTAAGAAAAATAATCATATAGTAAATATGACTGCCTGTTCAGTTGTGTCTAATGATCATCTTCTTCACTATTTCTTGTCTTTTTTCAACATCTCTTATTTTCTGTTTCAAGTTCTTCTAATCTTCAACTTCACTTGTTTCTTGTTTCTATGTCAAACTTCTTTATATGTGCCTCTCTTTTCTTCTCTTTTCTTCTCTTTCTTTTCTTTTTCTTTCTTTCTTCTTTCTTCTTCTTCCTTTTTTTTTTTTTTTTTTTTTTTTTTTTTTTTTTTTTTTTTTTTTTTTTTCTGTTTCATCTCCACATCTCACTCTTTTATTTTTCAATTTAGCTTTCACTTCAGATGAGCTCTCAATGAATCATGAAATTTCATCTGTTATTTTAACTACTTTGTGTCAATCATCACATTAATTTTTTAGTTTGTTTATCTTTCTTATGCTTTGCTTATTCAATTGAAATTTCTTATTTAATATCTAAGCTCTCAGTATATTCTTTTTGTGTCAATGTAAATATTCATAATTGATTTTTTGTCTTCTGCTCTTCTATGTTCTGCTATTTCAGCTTTTATAATCACATGTCTTACTCATTCTTTGACTCAATTGTTTAGGAGTTTCAGAGCTCTTTTTTGTTTCTTTTCCTCTTTTCTTTTCTCTTTTCTTTTCCTCCCCCTTCTTTACTTTAGTGAAGCAAGGTTTGCTTTCAACCTGTATTCTCCTGTTGGCTGAATTTCATTCTCACTTTGTTCATTTGTTCTATTCTTAAAATTCCCGCGCCCATTCTTCCTTATTTCTGTTGTCATTATCTTCTTGCGTAATTTAGGATGCCTCTTTAGAACAAGTGCGCGTTAAGGAAAGCTTTTGCTGAAGGGTGGCGTTTTCATTTAATCTTCTTGTTGACTTTCCCATTCATTTTCCTACAGCGCTCAATCAGTCCTTTTCTGCGAGATAGTTCATGGTTTATATTCTAACTAATTTGTTTCCTATCCATGTTTCACTAAGGACTGATAACATATCTAAGCAAAGTAAAATAAAATAAAGAATTAGAACAAGTTGTTCTTGACAGTTCATTTCGCCAAGTGAGCACCATCTGACATAACTTATTCGACGTTGCGATGGGGAACCCGCTGAACCGACCCAAAAATCTGACGCGTTGGTCCGAACGTTGAACGAGGATCTATCGGTCTCGTTCAGCCCCAGCGAATCAGAGGGTACAAGTCCATCGTGAGAAAATATCAGCTCATCATTGGCAAACGCGAAACCTGGGGCAGACTGGGTCTGTTGGTCCGGCCATGGTCCCATAGCTATCTAGGTAGAGTCAAGCCCCTGGTAGCACACCGCTTGCATTGTGGGGCGCGCAAATCGGAGTGGCGCTTGGCCTTGATACACGAAGAGCAGACTTTTCTGCGGGAGCCAGCCATTTTTGCTAACAGCTGCGGAGGAATCCTGCATCGCAAACGAGCGATATTTGCTCCGTGTTTCTTTTTTGGATGAAGGGAGGGCTGGCTGACTAAGGAAGCGCAAAGTAAGTAGGGCGCTAAGTAGGGCGCTAAGCAGGGCTCTTGTCCAGAACAGGAAAAGTCGGCGGAAATCCACCAACTCCGCAACCTCACTCGATCTCCGCCAGCAATTGTTGCTTGATATTAGCGGAGCTCCGCTTGCGCACGGTTTAGGATAATCCAGCACCTGAACAAAAGAGAAGCCCTTGAATAGCTATAAAAATGTTGCGGACCTCCGCAGCATCTTCGGGTGCAATGGTCAGCCAGAATGACCGTAACGAGTCATCACCTTGTGAAGACATGAGGAGGAAACTGCGAGGACTAAATATAAATAGTCGGAATGTATACCCCTCCGGTGCTTTTTTATGAAAGCATTGGAGTACACAATTAAACCCATGGATATTCCCTGCCGCCCCGCGACCGGCCTCCTTCAAATTCCATCTCCTGAATTCTCCTTATCCCAGCATGGCGCACTTCGCGACGAAGACCGTTCATAAAACACCATATCCCGTTCACTCTCAAGCCGACCAGACCGTGGGAATCACTGGCGGCGGCGGCAGTATCGGGTTAGCGATCGCCACATGCTTCGCGCGTGCTAGATCGTCGCTCCGAAATCCTCCTCAATGCAGTCAAACAACTTAAAGAGGAAGTCCCTAGATATGATGGTGACCTACAGGCCGTGCCATGCGACATCACTTACACATCAAGGGTCGCGCGCTTCTGGGACCAACTCAAGGAAGAACACGCTGGAGTTGATGTGCTCATGTTAAACTCCGGAGTCATAGATCCCTGAGCGATATCGTGAAAGCTAATAACAGCGATGCGTCCGCGGCGTTTGATACGAATGCCCGTGCAAATTTGGATATGACGCAACTTTTTTTTGTGAGAACATCGATGTGACTCCAAATAGGAAGAAGGAAGTGGGAGTTTGTTTCATTACCCAGTGTCGCTGACTTACCCTTTTAGTGATACTTCTTTGTTACCATTTGGCCTTAACTGATATTTTTTTTGTTCTTGTCTGTAACGTACAGAGCCTCATTCAAGTATCCTTAGTGGTAGTTGGCGATTTCCATCACAACCCTATGGCAGGTATCTACGCCTCCAGCAAAGCTGCGTTTTTAGCGCTCTTACATCGCATTGCCACTCAAGAACCTGTTGAGAAGGCTCAGATGGTTAGCTTCGATCCAGGTACGATTTTCAGCCGAGGGGTAATGGCAGCTGGGTTTGCCCCTGATAGCTATGATTGATTGGGATGCTGGTAAATACCTCCCCACCCCCTCTTTCTACTCCCATTCCTTGATATCGTGATTATCTATATCGCAGTATTGCAATCCATGAAATGTGAATAGGCAACTAACAAAAAATTTGCAAGAAAGTTTACTCTGGCCAATTTGCTGTATGGGCGACATCCTATGCTGTGGCTATGCTCCACGGACGCTTCATTCATTCCCAGTGGGATGTCGATGAGTTACAGGCACCCGATGTCAAAGCAAAGATAGAGAATGACGAAGTATTCTTAAAGATGGGAGCGGTAGGTTATTAAATCAAAATGCCAGTTTTTGAACGGAGCTTGCATTCGCATTCTAGATCGTTTTACGTGTTACATATGGGCGGATTTGCCATTTGCGAATCGTGAACTCTACATGTATGTATAACATCTTTTAAAACCACATCCTCTTCTCGAGAAAACAAACCTCTACCGCGCGACATGTAACTATTTCAGTATGCGAGCAAGGAGATTCCGGCCGGGTTGGAAATTATAGAAAGAGCGACAAGCCTCCCTCACCTTTATCCCTAAAAATTCGGATGTTTTGGGGGCCTTTTTATTCATCGGATCTACATATCAATTAAGACAAGCAGTTAAGGATAGGCGAAAACTGCTCTGCTACATGCTACAGAAGGGATCGCCAACACGATATCACTGCAATGTCATTGCAGACGAAGGTAGGTCAAAACAACCGGCTTAAGAACCGGCAGTGGACTGGGCGCACAAGCAATTGCCATTATTTCAGAGTGGAGAGGCGGGTTTACGTCCGCGATCGCAGTCGTGGAATCAGTTCGACGAAAAAATTTGTGTGTATAATCCACAGGCCCCTTCCACTTTTACTTAGAAGATGTCTTCTCCGGATATAACAAGTTCCTCCGAGCTAGCTAACTCGTCGACTCTCGGGCTTAGTGAGAGTCGAATATGCCGTAATCCGCTACGGCCGAAGAGCACGCATGGTTGAGAAATGGGTTTTGACCGCGGTAGTTCGGGAAATACATAACACAACCTCACCGCTACAACCCGGAAGGGCGGTAGAACGAACGTAGCCCCTTAAGCGTGACACCACTGGATCCATCATCAGGTTGCAGTACTACTCGGCCTACTTACGCCTCGGAAATAGAACGGGGAGGAAGCACGCTCCAGCGGCAAGTGATGACAAGAATGCCAGACCTGGCTGTGATAAAAAATTTGATAATGGTGACTATGTTGTTTTACTGTAGTACACTGATTAAGGCAAGAACTCAACATCCTCGGCCCGGTACCAACTGCTTCTAGTAGTCATTCGGTCCTTACCGTTTCCTCTCTCAACAACAGCAGTTCTTTCTGGCAATCCACCCATTATATATACATCTACCGCCTGATATATCCAAACGAAGAGCTGGCTGGACGATCAAAAACCATACGTCATATGCCGCCACAAAATTGTCGAAAATAAAGAAAGAAAGAACAAATCATTCAGCAGAATTCGCATGATATACAGCACAAATGATGCGATTATAAAGAAAAACCAACCAAAAATGCGCAGAGAATAACAAAATTGACGTCATCTATAGTGTCGTGTCGCGTGTTTTTGCTTCTCTAAATCAGATTACCACGCAGCGCCTGCTCGCGCTCGATGGCCTCGAAGAGGGATTTGAAATTCCCCGCGCCAAAGCCAGAGAAGTTGTGGCGTTGGATGATTTCAATGAAGACGGTGGGACGGTCCATGAGGTGCTGAATATCGCCGTTAGCATGATTCCAACTAGCAGCCCCCATAGGCAGGACCTGACGGGATGAAGGATTCTAGGAGCGAGAGAGGGGATCCTACCTTGGTGAACAGCTGCAACAAATACCCGCCCTCATCAAAATCAATGAGAATATCCAAACTCTTCAAAGCCTCAAAGTCCTCCTTCAACTTCATCCCGCCCCGCTCCAACCGCACCTTCATATCCTGATAGTATGTCTCGGGAACTTTAATGAACTCGACACCGCGCGCTTTCAGGTTTGTGATGTCGCGGATGATATCGTCCGATCGGAGCGCGATGTGTTGGACGCCAGCACCGTTGTAGAAGTTGATGTATTCTTCGATCTGGGATTGTTTCTTGCCCCTTGCGGGCTCGTTTATGGGCATTTTTACACGCTCGTTGGGCGAGGCCATGACGACAGATTTTAAGGCGGAGAATTCGCTGGGGAAGGATTTTTTCTTATTAATTGGATATGTTTAACTAATACGGAAGAGAACAACACATACGTGCAGATATCCTTATCATCGACGGACCAGAATCGGTGGAAGCCTAGGGCTTTCTCATAACTGAAATAGGGGGGTTAGCAGGTTCCTCCCTTACACGCCGTATCAGAAATGAAGGGGGAAATATTACTATTCGCAAACTCTGTCCATCTCATCCCAATCCTGGTTGCCAACGCAATGATCAACATGCAGCAGCGGGACTGGCGGTAGATGTCTTGAAAGGGGATCCTTGGCCGTCTCCTCTCGATAACCGGGCAAGAAAACGCCGGAATATCCCGCCCGTTCGACCAAAGTATGCGTCGTCTCGCCGTATGTCTGTATGGTAGCCACTTTGACCACCCCCTGTTTATCCTCCAGCATCTTAATGCCCGACACAACCGTGGCCCCATTCCGCACCGCGGCGTTGAAAACAGCCTGAACATCATCGACCTCGAACGCAACGTCCTTCACGCCATCGCCGTGCTTTTCCAGATGCGTATGGATCTCCTTTAGCAGCGCCTGCTCCTCGTCGTTGAACTGAGAGAGGTGGTCTAGTGATCGCAGGGGCGAGGTCAGGACGAAGGTAATATCGCCGTTGCCGACGACGTGCGAGGCGACGACCCTGGATCCGGTCTCCAGGCCTCGGTATGCGATTTTCTCGAAGCCCATGCGGGCTGTGTAGTAGGCGGCGGCCTGTTTTGCATTGCCCACGTACCAGTGGACATGGTCGTAGCCCTTGTAGCTGGACAGATCACGTTGGTTTGTCGGCGTGGACTGCCGGGTGGGGAAATAGCAGCGGGAGCCATGTCTACGTAAATATATATATGTATAAATCCCGTTCTGGAGTGTTTTTTAAGTGTGTGCTATGTGTTTCACTGTGACACCGTGACACAGTGTCAACTCGTGCTGTGTTTTTTTTAAAAAGGAATTTCGATCTGTGATGGAGACGAGAACAAGCTAGCTATCCCCAGCGATATATATACACATCCATCTAGCCTGTTCTGATATCCACGCTGGGCAAACGGTCTGCCGGCAGTGGCAGCCGCGGGTCCCCGGCGAAATATGCCATGTAACTAGCCGATAAGATAAGGGCCATGCCCCGTGGTTCCGGGGTGCTTTGCTGTGTTTCCAGGGTTGCTGGTGCCCATAGCATTACCCATCACCGCTGCTGAGGCACTTTTGGCTACTTTCGGCGAGCGTGGCAATCGCCCGGCTACTGTCGGGGCGGAGGACTGCGCACCAATCACAGCCGGCGCCAATACCGAACCTATCCTGGGCGCTCCGGCAGTGCGGTTGCCATACAAAAAGTAGGTAGTTAGCCGTCGCCCAGCTTGGAGTCTGGGGGCGACTGCTGGATGTATGGCAGATCGGTTATATGCAACCTCTATATATTAAAATATATAGAGAGACATATTATTTGCTCCCCAACTAAACACCCTCCAGCATCAACTATGAAATAGTTGTCAAATGTCAAATTAACTATAACCAATACCACAAATTAATATAATCTAGAATACTACCGCTAAAAATGGCAACCGCAACGACAGCAGTAACCGCCTCAGCCCCCCATCTCTCCGCCAACGACTCCGCCGTCCTCCAAGCCCTCTTCGACGCCGAATCTTCCCTTTCAAACGCTTCTACCGGAATCCACCTCGACTCTTCCCTTCCTCAGCAGCTCCCCGGCATATCCCCCGCCGAACTCTCAAAACTACAAGCGCTGGAACGCGCCGCGATACTCCCCTTGCAGGCAGAGACAACAGGCAGAGACACAATCAGAGATGCCAACAAGATAAGAGCGGCCGTGGCGAAGCTGACAGCCATCATTGAGGAGAACAAGGGGTATGCGTCTGCGTATGTGAATCGGGCACAGGCGGCGAGGATGCTGGTAGAGAGTGGGATGGATGGGAACGAGAAGGATGAGGAGGAGCAAAGGGAATTGGCAAACATGATCTTCGCCGACCTCTCGACGGTCATTTCACTACTTAGCCCATCTCCTTCCTCTTCCTCGTACTCTCCCTCCCTCTCTTCCGCATCACAGCATCCATCCCCCCTCAGCCCCCTCCACGCCCGCATCCTCGCAAACGCCCACACCCACCGCGCCTACATCGTCTACCGCGCCGCGCGGGCCCTCGACTCCAAACCATCTCCTCCCTCTAAGAAGAAGAATAATAATAATAGTAATAATAATAATAATGATAATACTACCCCTGGCACTGCCACACTAACAACTCTACCCGTGCACCTCCGCGACAAATCCGCCCAGCACCTGGAGGAGATGGCCAGTATGGATTTCCAGTTGGGCGGGCGGTATGGGAACGAGATTGCGCGCCAGATGGCGGTTAAGACGAACCCGTATGCGAAGATGTGTGGGGCGATTGTTAAGGAGGCGATGAGGAAGGAGATGATGGTTCACCGGGGGGAGGGGGAGGGGGAGGGGGAGGGGGAGGGTTTTGTGGTGTAGATATATGTCGGGGGTATGGTGGTGGTAGTGGTGCATTTGTTTGTTTGGTTGAGTCGTTGCCTTTTTTATGTATTGTTTATTCTGGGGGAGGTACACACAGTATATATGTAACTTAATAATGTATTAGATTAGATTGCAGTGATTGATTGGCATTGGGTGTGGTGGTGGTATCTGGCTAAGATGCACAGTTCGGAAGAAGTTGAATATCATAAATCAAATCGTCCACTTTAACTATTCCTTGCTATTGAAGTAAAATACGTAACAACGTGAGTGATATATCGAAATTGTCGAAAATAGCTACTAACCCACTCATGATGAGCGTAAACGTTATAACCTACAATCAAATCAACTAACTACCAGCCCCTTCTTCTTCGGATTCTGGAAATTACGCTTCAACGGCATCCAGCTCTCAGCGTTATAATCCTCCCGCACCTTCTGACACGTCTTCAGCCCCCACTCTGACACCCCAACCATCAAGCAACTACATTCAACAATAAACACGTTAGCAAAAGCAATTCACACATATAGAAAGAGGGGAATAGAAGTAAGTAAATGGTAAAGAGAAACGCTACAAACCTCTCAAACATAAACGCCAAACTCCCCTGCCCAACCTTCTTCGGCGACAACTCCGCCTGACTCGCCGCCTGATGCGTCTGCGCATCCGGCCCATGCGCGCTCATCACATTATGCAAACTGGCCCCCGCAGGTCGGAACCCCCCGCCAATCTTCGCATCATAATCACCGGAAATCAGGCCCATGAACTCTGACATCGTGTTGCGGTGGTACCAGGGCGGGCGGAAGGTGTGTTCGGCCACCAGCCAGCGCGGGGGGAAGATCACAAAGTCCGCAATGGCCGTGCCGACGTGGTCTGAGGGACCCGTGAGGACGGTGAAGATGGATGGATCCGGGTGGTCGAAGGAGATGGAGCCGATGGTGTTGAAGCGGCCTAGATCGTATTTGTAGGGGTAGTAGTTGCCGTGCCAGGCGACGACGTCAAAGGGGGTGTGCGATTGGCGGGCGGTGAAGAGGGTATTGTTGAATTTGCTGTGGAGGCGCCATTCGGGTCGTGTAGCGCCTTTGGCGACGGCTTCATCGTCTTCGTCGTCGATGAAGCAGGCGGTTGGGGCTTGGAAGTCGCGGGCGTTGGCGAGTCCGTTGGAGCCGATAGGGCCCAGTTCGGGGAGTTGGTAGTGGCCCTGGTAGAGTTCACAGATGTAGCCGCGGGCAGGGCCGGTGGGGAGAGCGACGCGGTATCTGCTTGGTATATTAGCGGTTATTTCACAAATGTGGAAGAGATACCTTCATTTTATATATTTTAAATTGGGTAGGATATAAAAACTAACCTAACACCGCGGGGAATGACACAAATCTCATTCGGACGCACGAGGAGTTTCCCCAGCTCAGTCTGGATATCCAAAACACCATGCTGCGGCACGATCAGAAAGTCCCCGTCCGCCGAATAAAACGCTTCATTGCCCATGTCCTTGCCTACAGCAAAGATGAGGATTCCCAAGCCAGTCTTCATTGCAGGTTCTCCTGCGCCAGCAACCAGATGCAGCCCATTCACCCAGTCAACGTCCTCGTTGAAATCGAAGGGGTTCCACCGCAGCTGGTTAGGGATCTGTTTGAGAGAGCTGGCATCCTTGGACAGGCTGGTGTGGTAGGTGGAGGAGTCTACTTCGACGAAGGGTTGGTGGGCGGCTGAGGGTAAGATCCGGTAGAGCCATGTTTGCTGGTTCTCATGGCGAGGAGCGGTAAAGGCTGTGCCGGAGAGCTTCTCTGCGTAGAGGCCATAGGAGGGCATCTGTGGCGAGTTCTGCCCGATTGGCAAGGCGCCTTCAATGGCTTCCGACCTGGATGCGGGTGGATGTCAGTTTCGCGGGGGATTGGCAGAATGGACTCGGAAGGTACCCATCTGGAGCTTACTCGTGATAGGAGCCGAAGCCATTGAGGTAGGTGTATTTCTCCGGCGTGGAGAAGTCTGAGACGGGCATGATGGCGCTGTATGTATATATATCTATATATATATATATTGTGAGTGTGTGAGTGTGTGACTGTTAAGTGTTGGCTATGTATGGGTGAAATTACCGAATCTAGCTCACTGAGCCCAGTGTGTGAGGAGAAGGAAATGGTTTATGTAGGACAGAATTTGAGAAGATGGTGACAATATCTAGCACAGCAGCTGTAAGTAGTATCTTAACAACAACCTCTAGCATCTATCGCTTGCAAGTCCGAACGAACCCTCGATGTTGCATCTTCAGGCGCATCATGCTGACGTCATCCGGAATTGTTGCCGTTGTTGCGCTTTCGGCTGCAGCAGCTAGCGCGCTCTTCTGCAGTCGGTTTAACCGAGGATAAGCGCGCGGAACCAATTCCGGAAATGCGGGGCGGGTAGAATTGTCAACAAGGGGAAGTCTTAGCCGCCGCTCATGGCTTCTGGCCCAACGTGTCGAACGGAATCGCCAGAAATGTATACAATCTCCCCCATCCCGACAATCCTGACCCATCATCTCATCGCAGACCAACTTCGCTCCGGAGAACGCATGTTTTGGCATGGCATCCATTCCCGCATTTAGCAATTTATTCTGCGAAAGAGGCGCGCTTTTTGAACGTCTGAAGTGAAGCCAGCCGCTTCTCTGAGCAAGCAGCTCCAAATCTCTCTCTAGTTCGATTATGGAAAACAAAAACAAGGGAAGAAACCAGTGCACCAGCAGAGGTCAATGCTTCCGATGGGATCCCCATTTATGATAAAAAGTTATAGCAAATGCTCCTCTGTCTCAAATCAGGCATGTCTCAAGAGTGTTAGCTGGCTCAGGCCATTTCATCATTCAATAGCGCTTCCCATGCTTACCTATCAGTAATCCCTATGCCACATCCCCCACGTGTCCTTAAACTCGCCCTTGCCGAAAAAGCACAGGAAAACATCTCCAGTTTGGATTGGAGTCTCAGCTCCTCCTGCACTTGTCACCTGTGGAACAGCAATCCACACGCTCGCCATACGCGCAACCAGCCGACACCATGATGTGGCGGGAACTGGTCATTTTACAGCTGAGGCTGAGATCATCCCACAACCTGGGAACTCTCCTCCGCAATATACCCAGATTGGGGCAAAAACTCAGCGACTGTATAACGGTCGCATATGCTGCAGCTTTCATCCGAGGAGATCAGGGAAATGATTGGCCGTGTATCAATGATGGTTCTATATTCCATTCATCAATCGCCATTTCGACTCTCCGGATTGATTGGCTGGATGTTGTAATGGGATATTTCAAAGCCCAATTTGTGTAACTTGCGCATCATTTCTTCTCACGGTGGAAAGCCAAGAAGGCATAGCCGTACGGAATACAATGATATATGGAATACATGTACATGGATGTATGTACTAAACGTTTCGTGTACCTAATCGATCTGTGCCAGGGCACAGCTAATTTTTGGACATGAGATCCACAATCTGATATCACCATCACCATACCATACCTGTCTTCAGCTCACATGATTGACTTTGGATGTCGCATCAGGCAAAAAGCCGGTTTGAATGCATCAAAATATTTTTACTGCTTTTTAGGAGGAGTGTCGCCGGTAAATATTTTAAATGTTTGATATTTTGGAAATTTTTACCTATTTTGCTTGGACCTGTCAGACGCACCCTGCAGATGCAGGTTGACTTAAGGATCACAGCCTGATACAGGGATATCAGGTTGCATGCCTACTACGCAGACGGGACTAACAACGGATCCCACATCTGAATATTCAGATCGAAAATGACATTTTCCTTCCTTCACTTCATTTCACTTTTTATACCGTTCTTCTTGATGACTAATTCATTCCTTTGTCACTCTGTCTCATCATATCTTATTTTCTTCAAAGGAATTTCCTGCGTTTTTAATAGCTTAGAAGAATCCCATACCGGACATCATGCCGAAGCACCTGGTGAGATGACGTCTATACATGTACGGACCTTCTGAGCAGAGGGGATCGGATCCGAAGGCGACAGAAAATAAAATTACCGGCAGAGAGAATGTCGAGTAAAGCCGTGTTTATATCGAATAATCTTGCCAGCGAGCAATTGGTAGCTTGTCTTGCTCGTCCATCCCTGGCAAACGGGGTTGAGGCTCCGCCAAGTATTGAAGTTGATTGGGATGGAGAGGAGGGGAGTTGAGGTAGCTGGATCATTATTTTCGGCAAAATCACTTTGACCAGAGCATCAAGGTCCTAGCGTTTCAAGTTTGTTAAGACTCTACTAGCTAGCAAATGGTGAGTCCGGCATCTACTTATCTCTACTATTGAATCATAGTGTTGTAACAGCGGGATCACCGACAAGGATTAAGGTGTGACTTTTGCCAAAAAAAAATACGTGGAAAATACGTGGGGCTTCTCCGTCGATGAATTAGTTTGGAAAACCAGCCCTCCCACGTTTCATTTATCGACGGATACGAGTAAAGAGATGCAGTCTGCGCAGAACCGGGAAATGATACCCTGCCGGATCAGGATCTTGGGAACCTAGCAGAACTAGGGCTATTGGCTCGCCAGCATCCGTCCACGAGGCCAAAATGAATATCCGGGACGAATTGAATGATTTCAAAAACATCCCTGCTGGAGGATCTGCTTTCGCGGAGCTACCGGGCAAGAATGACTATCTTTGCATTTGGACATGGGTGCGACGTGGCGCATAGGGTGACAGATATGGAATCCTGGGACGGACGAGCTGAGGGTGGGCATGGGCCCATTCCAAAACGCTGGGTAGGGTGGATGTAACGTGGTTTTCTTTATATTCTATATATACTGGCACCCATTCCAAAAAGGGGCGGGCCGCAATACTCGAGATATTGTCCCTGTCGACCAGCATAACTTTGGTGGTCGGTATCACGACTATTTTCTACTCTTTATACCCTTCCAAGTTGAATTAGTCTCTGGGGTTAGATGACGGAATGGAGATCCTCCAAGCCCGGCGGCCTCTAAGGGTGGTTGTTGTTGGGTAAGGAATTTTTGAAATCATATTGCTTATATATACTTGATTGTCGCTGTTGTCTGTTGTTGCCCTTGCGCTTACGATATGAGATAGAGCAGGTATGCAAACTCGCAATCGGTAGACGATGGGGAGGGATCATAGGAAAACGATATTAACTTGTGGCCCGTCCCTTTTGAAGGCATTGGAGGCCTCGCGACCGCGATTTCTTTGGCAATCCGGGGACACAGGATTCTCATACTCGAATCTGCCCCCCAGGTATGGGTTGATAAGCCACCAGTTAAAGGCATCGCCAGGCTGAAATAATCATGGATTATTTGTGTAGATTCGGGAGCTAGGCGCGGGAATTCAGATTTCCCCGAACATGCGAAGCGTCCTTCGGCGTAAGTGATCTGACATGATTGACATTGGCGGATCCACTTGTCAACATTTCCTATTTTAGGTTTGGGAGTTGAGCCGGCGATCAAAAAGACCAGCGTTGTCCTTGAGCGCATCCAAGTCGTCCGATGGCAGGATGGACGAGTCCTGAACGAAACTGCCGTTAACCATCAGTACGGCGAAGCTGCCGCCATTCACCGTGGAGACCTCCAAAAAGCCCTCCTTGACAGAATTTTGGAGCTAGATAATATTCAAATACGAGCGGGTGCCACCGTTACTGATATCGACTTCGATCTTACAGCAGTTCACCTACAATGCGGGAAGGCAGTATATGGTGATGTAGTTATTGCAGCTGATGGTATCAAATCCACTGTCAGAAGGAAGATGTTTCCAGGTATCGGTCATAGAGTACAGCCTAGTGGGGACGTAGCTTTCCGGATCCTCATACCACGTGAGAAAATGCTGGAGGATGAAGAGACTGCGAAGTTAATAAACAAACCACAGGCAGTGCGATGGGTTGGTCCGCACCGGCATGTCATCGGCTACCCGATACGGAACCACCAGCTGTATAACTCTGTCTTCGTCCATCCTGACAACGGGCCAACTGGCGAGTCCTGGACTATCCCCGGGACAAGAGAGGAGATTATGGAGGCGTTTGGTGGGTGGGATCCCCGACTTTCAAAGCTAGTTGCGTCGTCCACGAGTGTGTTAAAGTCAAGACTCTGTTTGCATCCGCGATTGCAAACGTGGGTAAAAGGCTCCTGCGCCCTGGTTGGGGATGCATGTCATCCTATGCTGTAAGTTGCACGAACAATCGAAATTTGTAGGCTTGATGAAAGTAAGGGGTATATATAGGCCAACGCTTACTGGTCGTCATAGACCTTACATAGCACAAGGTGCCGCTCAAGCCCTTGAGGATGCAGCCGCTCTTGGGGTGGTATTATCCCAAATAGAGACGGCGAAAGACGTCCCATTTGCACTGTACGTTTATGAGAAGTGTCGAAAAGCCCGCGCAGAACGAATCCAGCAATCTGGCACCGATATTCGAATCGAACTGCATCTTCCTGACGGGCCAGAGCAAGTCAAGAGGGATGAGCGGTTTGCAGCTGCAATGAAGGGCGCCAAGAATCCCGATACGTGGAACGACAGGGAGACACAGAGAGCAATCTGGGGCTATGATGCGGAAGAGGCAGCGAGGAAGTGTTGGTCTTCCTCACGGGGTATAAAAGGGGCCATCTAAGAAGGACACTGTCCAAGCCCATTTCCAATACTGTGTAGCATTGCTAACTCGGCTGAACTGATGATAGAATTCACAAGAAGAAAGGGGTGGGGTGGATAGCGTAGTTGGTGAAAGCGCTGTCCATGGAGGGCTCATGGGAAGTAGGAACTGACTATAGGGGATGATCCTTCTTAGACATCAGGGTTGCAAGGTTCAAATCCTGTCTCTATCACAAAATGATTTTATCATAATCTATTGATTACATTCACAATCTGAGATCAGTTCTTGACTATAGAGAGTTAATCAATAGATTAGAAGAAAATGATTTTCACTATATAAATAATTTGCGGAGCGAAGCGAAGCAAATATATGATGAAAACCCTGGTCATTAAAAGTGGAGAATTTCCTTTTTGAGGTTCTTGGCGCGAATACAGCTCACTGATTGATGTAGAATTAAGTGAAGCACAATCCTGTGACATTTCACTATGGCTGCATCTCTGCATGCTCATAACATGTTCATCTTTCATCTCATCAATCATCTACTCTGTACAGATTCTTGAATAATAGATCACATATCTTATCAACTATCTACTTCATACAGATTCTTGAATAATAGATCACATATCTTATTAACTATCTACTCTGTACAGATTCTTGAATAGATAATACATCTGATCAATTATTTTTCATAGATTCTCAAGAATGAATAACATATTAAAAGTCTGTGTTCACTGCTTATGAAATCAGTCTCTTGATTAATTTATTTCTTTATAGCATTCTACTACTTCTACAGCTATCTGTCTTCAATATCACACTCAGAGAACTCAGATATTGTAATCTTCTTTTATTACATCTTTTCTATCACTGATTATCTCTTTACACTGTGTAGAATTGTAAATAAATATGTACAGTGAAATCAGATTCTTCTATAGTCACAGATTCTATAATAAATAAGTCTGAACTTCTCTTATTATCTCAGATATATTAATACTTTATATAATTAATAGCAGTCTCTCAGATCTGTAAACAGTTTATTAAAATAGATATATTATCTGAGATTAAGTTTTATTACTATAAGATTCATAGTTCTGATATATCTTTATTAACAGTAGTCTGTAAAAAGAAAACTATTATTCAAAGAGCTTATTATATTATCAGATATTATAAAGAGTATTTCTCATTAACTTTATTCTTAACTTAATTAAGAAAACAGCTGTGATTATTATCTTTGATAATTAATTCATCTTTTAATTCTGCAGATCTCTCTTCAGTCTTTTATTAATTATCTATATTATTGTTCAACTCATCTCTAAGTTAATCTTATTTCACTTTTATAGATATACTTTTACTGTAGACAGCTTTTACACTGTTTTTCTTATTCTTAACTTTTTAAAACTCTGTTTCTCAGAGTTCTGCAGATTTATTCATTAATTAACTTAATAAAAGAGTTAATAGTCTCTTAATATTCTAATACTTTATATAGTCTGAAAGCTTAATTAATATATTAAATATAGAAGTTCTCATAATTCTTCAGAAATATAATCAGTTATAGACTGTAATTATCTCAGATTCTTTAATAAATTCTCAGAGTTCTACTTATCTTACAGATTCAGCTATTAATTCTGATAATTAACAGTGTATAGAGAAATTTTATAACATATTTGAAGATTTACAGATAAAGATCTGTAGCTGTTATCAAATTCACTAATTCAGAATAAATCTTCATAATAATATTTATACTTATTATTATACTATTAATTTGAGATAGCTATCTGATAAGCTGTTTTTATTCTCTTAAGAGAATAATCTTAATTTCAGTAATTTTAATTCAGATCTTTCTATTCTTAGTCAGATTGAAGAGATATTAATTTCATATATATATATCTTTATTAAGATCTGTTAAGTCAGAGAATATCAGTATAAGTATAAAGATTATATTATTAACTTTCTTAGAGATACTGATTATATTTATAACACTCTCTCACTTCTTTCTAAGAATCTTGATATTATTATATTAAAGTCTTTAAATTTAAATACAGATTCTTACTTACAATATCAGTTTCACTGAGATTTTATAGTTTATAAAGAAGCTATTATTCAATGATTAATCTATCTCTATAAAAACTATCTCAGTTATCAGAACATTGTGATTGATAAAAAGACTTGAAATTAGTTATCTGAAAATAAAGATATCTCTGATCAGATTTCTTTTCACAAGCTTAATAAGTAAGAATTAATAGCTATTAAGAATAAGAATTATTTAAATCTTAATAACTTAAATATCTTATCTGAATACTTTAATATTTCAGATCTTTTAATCTCACAGTCTGAAGTTAAATAACTTTATTATGAACTTAAAATATTATAGTAAGAATAAATTGATCATCTCACTCTGTCTTCAGTTTATAATATATTACTTAGTGAGTTTAACAACACTCATTCACTCTTTTCTTAAGTCTTTTCAATACTTTTCTTATGAGATGAAGCTGAATTCATTCTTTCTAGATAAAGAATAATTAGTCTTACAGATTATATATAGTTTCTTCTTAAATATTATAACAGTCACTTTGTCTGTTATAGCTATTTTTAATATATTCTTTTCAATTCTCTATTCTATAGATAGAGTAATAATTGAGACTGCTTTTTCTATAATTCAACTAACTCTCTTATTAAGAACCTCACTTTACAGAAGCTGCAGACTGCTTTTACTACTAATACTTTATAATCTATCATAATTTTAAATTTACTTACACAGTTTGCAGAGAGTCTTTGTAAAACTTATTCTTTTTAAGATATAAAATATTATCAGCTATAAGTCTATATTTAAAATATCAGATCTCTGTATCTATTTCTTACTCTCTTAGCTGTAGATTATCACTGAAATAATCTGATATATCACTTTTCTGACTATATTATTTAAAAGCATGACACTGATCTTGAGAGATTAAAGTTTGTAAGAGATAGTATTTATAACTATCTCACTATAGTTGTATATTACTTTCATCTATAACTTACAATTTTCAAGAAAAAGATTCTAGATCTGAAATTTAAAATTCTAAGTTACTGAACTTATTACAAGTGACAAGATTGTGAATCAGTGCACTTATATAGTATATTTTAATATAAGAATGCACTGAATTCTGAACTTGATATGAATGAAGACTCTCATTAAGTCTTTACTAACTACTGAGATCTTATTATTACAGCTGAGAATTCTGAGTCTAATCACACTCAGTCTGAAGATACACAGTTATCACTTTCTCTCAGTTATTCTAATCAGATGAATATCATTGAATATTTATCTACAGTTCTCAACTGTGTTTAATATCATCACTGTAGTAAAAAGTACTGTATTTATAAACACTGAGTCACTGATAATCTATATTACTGATTTTACTTTCTGTATAAATATCAGACTGACTATGCTATTCTCAAATCTTTGAGTAGTAGATATTACTGACTGTATCTTTATTATAATAACTCAATTCTTAATAACTATAACAGATTGATTACAGTTAACTGACTAGTAAATACTGATATTACTCTCTACACTAACAGTTATACTGTTCTTGATTATCTGTCTAAGTACATTGTTAACACTGAAATAGACACAGAATTCTATTATCAGATTATTTAATAAGTGATTTCAAGAGTTAGTTCAAGTTACTCACTACTCTCTACAGTTGTTAAACTTATAAATTGATTTATTGATAAGTGTGATTGATCTGCTTAGAAGGTTTATTATCTTCTTTTAAATCTTTCTTTATAAATAAGTTCTTATAAGTTAATTATAGTTGATTATTAGTCTGAATCTTAATATTATTATAGCTATATTCTTAAATCTGATGAATTATAATATAATTCATTCTTTTTGAAAAAATATAAGCAGTAGTCAACTGAATTTGAAAATCTTTTATTTTTTAAATTTCTTTAAATCTTTTCTCACAGTCATTAAATTAAGAGATATTCTTATATAAAATCTCAAGTATTGATCTACTTTTCTGTTTATCAGTTCAAAACTAATTCAGAGAACTATACTTATATCAAACTTCTTCTTTATTATTCTTTTCATTAAATTAAAGATCTCAAGATTATTGATCTTCTCACTTCTTAACTCTCTTTTACAGAGGTCTTTAATTATTGCTGTCTTTCTTATAATCACTCAGTTGATGTCTATAATGAAGATATACTGCAATCAGAACCTGAGTTTGAAGATAATCAGAATAATAAAGAAGAGCTTGATCTCTCTTAAGTATTACTTATCTATCAAAATTCACAGTATGATAATAATAATCTTATTGATATCTGAAACTGTGAACAGCTTAATCATTGATTCTTAGATTTCAACTATGATTGAAGCTCTCATGTTAACACTTATATCAATCTTGACATAGAATTTTAAAATAATATAAAGACTGACTTCTCTGCAGACACTACTCTTTATGAATATAACTCACTCAAGACTCTAGATTCTGATTAATACCTTCTTCATAACACTATTCTCTATTATTATACTGAGATTCTTAACAGTGAGTTCTCAGATTCTTTGCTAATTAATCTAGATAATAAAGATAACACTGATAAAACTTATCTGATTATAATTTTATCTACAACTCTTCAAAATCTTGCAGAGACTCAAGATCTCTTAATCTCAATTATTCAAGCTGTATTGACTGATATAGCTGCTTACTTCATTAATACTCAAACCTTATATGTGTTATTTCACCTTCTCATATACAAGAATATGTCATATGAACTGTTTAATTCTTAAAATCTTCAATCTTTACAGGCTCTTTTTAAGGGTGTTCACTATCTATTAATTGATGAAAAGTCAATAATTGATTTACAGTAACTTTTATGAATTAATCAGATCTATTATTACATATTATCTTATAAGAATGCTTATTTTGATAATCTCAGTGTCATTCTCAGTGAAGATTTCTATCAGCTCTTATCTGTTTTTCAAACCCTGCTTTATCATAATGAGTGTATTGATTATAAAGAAGATATTCAGAGTCATTAAATCTACTTAACTTTTAGTAAAATTATTCAACTTACTGTGATTTGATAATAAGTGAGTGAAGATGTCATCAGCTGTCAGTTCTGTAAGATTCTGAAAAATCTTCAGCTTGATCAGTTAACTCTGAATGATTGAGAGTTTCTTTCAAAGTATATGCAGACTCTTATCTCTCATGAAATCTCAGTCTTTGAGAATGTAATTCACATTTATACAAAGAAGTATCATGTTCATATCTATAATAATAATACTATTCAAAGCTGTAAACAACCTGTTATTAATATTCAGGTTATAAATATTAATATAGACACTTCTCAGTTAGATTCTGATAAGACTAATAA